ACGCGGTGACACTTTGTGAATGCACTGCGGTGACACTTTGTGAATGCACCGCGGTGACACTTTGTGAATGCACAGCGGTGACACTTTGTGAATGCACCGCGGCAGCACTGTTACCCTGCCACCCGATCGTATATAGACCGGTTCAGAATATTTTCCCAGGGGTACATAATGGTTTTTAACGATTTTAGTAAAACTACGTGCCTGCCGGCGGCAAACGATTTTAGTAAACGCGTATAGGTTTTATCGCGTCGCTTCTATATTGTATCAATATTATGGTTCTCGGTTGAGCGAGGACCTGTGGGTTCGTGTGAAGGGCAGCTGATGCATTTCTAGAATATTCCGGCACTTATTTTCCAGTCGCGGAATTTCTCAAATGAAACATCCGCCACACTTTAACGTTGAATCAAATGATATTATTAGTTCACTCGTGGGAAGAGTCCAAAATTTAGCATATTTCTACGATGAGATTGCGGTGGGTGTATATACTGCTACTGAATCTACCCAACAACAACCTTCCTTGTAACCGTATGATATCAGTTTTCGGATTTGACGAAGCGTGTAGAAATCGCCAAGCGTGGCGCCATCTATTGATTTTCGAGGACAACTCGTGAAGGTAATCTGATCGTGTAGTCATTGTACTCGTAATAACGGACGTATAGCGAGTGCTATTAATTCCTGCCTCCGCCAATTTTGTTTCACTTGCCTCCACGCACGCGATCTTTAATTTATTGATGTTAGCGTGTAAGCAACCCTTCTATTAGCGATTATATTTTTAATATCTTTTCTGTACCCGCATATGCTGTATATATATATAGTCTACGATTCTGGCTGCATTTTATAATTATAAATGGTAATATTACAAATCGGTTGCGTACCAATCTTTTTGTAGGAACGACGATGCGCATAATCCTGTTTAAATCCGACCGGATGGTGACAACGTGCATAATTCGGATAGAGTCGGATGAACAAACTCGGACGGATTAGCGAAGTAGATTTTTAGATGAGCGAACCGTCGTCTAACGTATTCCCATCCGTAACGTATTCGTTAGTTTGTGACCGAACCACACATGCAGTTACTATAGATACAGTTATTGATCAATATGATTATGGTTATCACATTCGGCACAATTATAAA